ATGGCACCACTTCCAGTGTGGTGTTGCTTCACGATAATGCTCACCCGCACACCACTAGATGCACCCAAGAACTTTTGAAGCAGTTCTGTTGGGATGTTTTTGATCACACACACACACACCCCCATAGCCCAGATTTGGCACTGAGCGATGACTACTAAGGAATTTCAAACCTTGTAAGACATTATGACAAGTGCCTCAAATTGAATGGCGATTATGTTGAAAAGTAATGTAATGTTGTAGTTTTATAATGTGCATAATAAAAGCTCTGTATCTGCGCGTGTCTGTCATTGATAACCAAACGGAGGTTTATTTTTGAATTGCCCTCGTATAACTACAGTTTCTTTATTCATTATATAATATTTAATCTGGAATCTCTATGTGCATTCTCATGCAACATTAGATTGCTCAACTTGTTTGAGTTTAGAAACTAATAAATTAATTAGATTTCTCGCCATCTTTCTAATATCATTGCTTGTGCTGTGTAATAAAATTCTCTTTCAGAAGCATAAAGCTGGTAAAATTCCTATTTAGCAGAGACCAAAGATCTATATTGGTATGAAGATGAGAATGCATAAAATGGTAATCAAGATTTCATTGCAAAGACATTTAGATATTTAAATTGAAGAAGCTACTTTATGGCATATGATGGGAACCAAGGGAACTTATTGGAACGGAAAGCATGAAATCTTTCTTCAGTTTTTTTTAAAAATGGAATTATTTTATTAAATTTTGGAACTTGAGTATAAAAGGGAAAGTTTTGAAGTTGGGATAATCTGTATACCCAAGATGATCCTATATCCTTAAAATATCAGCAGTGTTTGGTGATGTTCTCTCCATAATAAACATCATGGCTGGTTGAATGATTCTGGGAGTTGAAATCTACACATCTTAAGATTGCCAAGGCTAAGAAACACTGTTGTGGACCTTCTAAAACTACAAAGAAATGTTGATAGATCTCAGGACCATCTTAGTATCTTCATATTTCTTGTGATTTTCTGAATTTCTGATTAATTCTGTGGGATCCTGCCACCTAAGTACTTCTGTTTATTTGACCATGAGATGTTGATAATTTCAGTCTGTGGCAGGCTAAACTTCATGGAATGTTTCACTTGCTATGAAGTAAGAAATGCAAAATATTATTTATTCACCTCAAGACTCTATAGCCAAAACCAGCAATGCTCTCTGTGTTGCCTCTATTCAGACATTTTGAACAACTGTGATTTTGTTGAACATGTGTAGGATAATCTCTGGTCCTCACTGTGAGAATAATACCTTCATTGTAGATTATCTACTATCTGAAAGGATACAAGCCAAATGATTTTTGGAATTCAGGTTATAAATTAAGATTGGACTCAGGTAGAACATTTTTTTCTTTTGTTCTTTTGATTGTTGCTACTATGTTGATGTATGTTTATCATGTCCTTCTAATGAAAAATGTCTTTCTCCCTCTCTGTGTTGGTTTCATCTATCATCAAGGGGATTATAGGGAATGAATTAGATCACATTTTGGGAGTTTTTGAGTAGTGGCAGATATGGAGGGATTGTTGTTGGTCCTGAAAGCAATAAAGATGGTTAATTTTCTACTCGAGAGTGGTTGCATGCGTGCTTCCAGTTTGTTGAAGTAAAAGATAATGATTTTTCTTTTTTAGTTCTAAGATTATTGGAGTCTCACTTGCTTAGGTTAATTAATTCTCCCTTTCTTACATTAGGTTGATTCAGAATCATCATCTCCATCTTCATCATCATCATCAATGTGGCAGTGGACTAGGACTGGGGAGAGACGGGTTCAAGTTCACCCTCAGCTGCAGATGTTCAGTAGGTGACTTTGGGCCAGTCCCTCTCTTTCAGCCTAACTACCTGTATATTTCCACAGCTTGAGGTAAGTTGGACTGAACAGAGAGACTGGCCGGAAGTTATTCTTAAAGTTAATTCCATGGTCAACTTGAGAATTTGCAATTAAATTACCCTCTCATTGCACCAGGCAGAATGTCCCAATAAGAGCATAAGTTTGGTATCCTTTTAACAATGGTCATTCTTCATGATCCAGAAAGACAGAAGACTGAATATTAGTGTAATCAAGAAGCAGGTTAGAAGAAAACATTTGTGTTTTCTTAATCTTACCTGTCCTATTTGAGAGCCAGTTTGGTCTAGTGGTAAGGCACCAGGCTAGAGACAAGGAGACTGTGAGATCTAGTTCTGCTTTGGCCACAAAAGTTGGGTGACTTTGGGCCAGTTGGTCTCTCTCTCTCTCTCTCTCAGCCAAACTCACCAAATTGTTGTGGATTCAGCTTTTTAATTCTGAATTTTGGCTTGCATGAAGCCTTTATCTTTCAATCAACCTCAACCCTCCAAAATTCATTACTGGATCTCAAGAAATCAATTTTTCCCCCAATGTAACGCTGCTTTTTCCTATGTTTAGTACTAAAAGCTGGTAGCTTTTTTTCTACCTGCATCTTCTATTAATAGTGATGAAATTACACTTGCTGAGGCTGAACTACAAACGGCAAACTGAAACTAGGGTTGAAGACTCAAAGGCAGCTTTATCTTCTACCTCTCGTTTGCTACTTTTACAACAACTTTCCGATGCCCTTAACATTTTTACGGGGAGTTTTCCTACCATACAGATTGGCTCCATGCACAAGTTGTGTTGGCAAACACATAAGATTGTGCTGTCAGGCCACGCATATGTTGCTTAGATATTACAGAGAGAGGAGTGGAAAAAATATTGCCTGTCCCTTGATGGAGAAACGGTTACAGAGACATAAGATGCATTATTTATTTCTGAACAAACCCCTGTACAATTCCCCTGCGGATGCATGGCAGGGAAGCAGAGTTTATGATAGCACAAGGGCAGCAGCTAATTAAATTTTAGTTATTCTGTGTAACACTCTGGGAAGATGAAATGCACAGAGAGAAGAGCCTAATGTTTGCTTTGCAGACTTATTGAACCAATGTTATGGGTTAATTTACTATAAGGGAGATTTTTACAGCATCAGCAACAGCCGTAATTTCTAAATTCATCCCTGTTAGACAGTAAAACTAGTTATATATTTTGACTGTTATCCAAGAATATATTTAAGCTTTTTTATTGCTATTATTGTTGTTTAAACTGACATTAGACATTAGTTCCCAGATAAATCTCTGGGATATATCGAGTGACATTATTTATACCAGTTTAATCAAAGCTGGATGCAAATTTGAGAGATAGAATTTCTGATTTTGGTGCAATCATTAATTCTTTGGGCCGTATGAGGACTTTGATACATCAGATAGAGCATTCAGTCTACCTTAAAAAGTGAGAATCTAGTTTGCTTTTTGTCTCAGTTTTACTGTCTCGTGATTTTCTTTCAAATTTAAATTCACTGAGTTAGCATTGAGTCTACCATCCTGAAAAAACTATAGACTAAAGACAAAATAAACTAAATATAACTTAAAATATTGTTCTAAAGGGAGTCTTTAAATTGTAAGATACATTCTAAAATTAATATTTTATTTATAACTTGCAATTTCTTAAATTGGCTATTATATAGGTTGCCTCTTTATCCATGCCTTTCATCTTTGTTCAGATATCTAGAGCATATTTGGATGATACTATTCCTTATTGTAGCATGACTACCAAGTCTCTTTTGTTTCACTTTTTGTTTCCTATTCACTCAAGGATGAACTTATTTCTATTGGATTTATTAGTATCTCAGCGCATGCCACCATTTTCTCTCTTATGCACAAAGGCATTCCCATCGTTGGAACTTAAGAATGTAGTTCCCAACTAATCTTCCCTTTTTCACTTTTATATTTGTGATCATTATCTCTGGAAGTCCTCCTCCCAAACCATTTCCCTTGTGGTGCTGTCTCTATCATCTTTTAGAAGTTGACCAGAAGCATCTGTCACACATTTCTTCTTCTTCTTTGTGGAATTACTTATAAAGTGAGCAGATGTTTCAGAATGTAATGATCAAAGAAATCTCAGCAATTGTCATTCTGATTCCTGCTCTTTAAGAAAGACTCTTTCCATTACCCATTTTGCAAGTTTAATAAATGGTCATCACCATCTGTATGTCATTGCTTATGGTCTTTACTACAATGCTAATTCTCTTATTCCCAGACAAAGTTCTTTGCAAGTCTTTGTCCAAGAGGGGTATTGGCTGGAGTTGACTATGGCCATTTGAATGTCAGCCACTGTTTCGAGGCACAATTACGGAATATATTATAGACTACCTATAAACATTATGGAATATATTATAGGCTACCTATATACATGTTCCTGTCAATATAGCATTGTTTTAAAAGAAATCATATTTCCCAGTTGTTACAGATCTCCAATCCTGTCTTTTTCCTGGAGTAATTTATGGTCAAGATGTTTTGGGGAGTAAAGGATGAGAACATCATAAAAACAAGATTTTTTTTTCCCCCAGGAAAAAAATTAGCAAGATTTAGGACTTAGATTTCCTTTCCATGACATTGGGTAAGAAAAACCAGGTATCATTTCTGATTGAGGGACCTTTTCATAAGGAAAAAGATCTTTTCATAGGGAAAAGAGGGCAACATCAATTGCAGAAATGCTGGAATTCCTTGAGAAAAAATTAAAATGGGAATTAACATTACACTTTCTAAGACCTCTGTTGAAAAGAATGTTCCCCCATGCACAGAAGTGTTGTTTTGTCTCCTGTTCTCACAATTTCATGGTATTGTACCACTTCTTTGAGAAGTAGGCTAATTCACAATTTAGTTTCTTGCTTGCTATGCTGATACATTGTAAAACGTCATGTGATTATTTCATCGATTATTGCTCCAAATAAATCTATGGCCATCTTGTTACCTGTTAATCTGAATTGTCATCCTTGTGGATTTAGTCTTTTTATTTACTAAAAGAAAAGGCCTCCTCAATCTCCTCTGAAAGTCCAAGCATTCTACATCACTGAAGCTTGTGCAAGGAAATGTGAGGATCGGGCCATAAAAAAAGTAGAATATCACTATTAAATCACAACTTGTATGATTTGCAGATTTTAGCGGACCTAGAAAACCATGCACTTTTTAAAGATGACTTGGAATGTCAGAAGCTGATTCTGGAAGCCATGAAATACCATCTTTTGCCAGAAAGACGAACACTTATGCAAAGTCCAAGAACAAAGCCAAGGAAATCTACCGTTGGGACCTTGTATGCTGTTGGAGGAATGGACAACAATAAAGGTATCACTTAAGAGTTTTTTTTCCAGACAGACGGTGGGAAAGGATTACTTTTCTTTCATGTACTCGCTCTATATTCATTTTTTAAACTTCTCTGGCATGAGAAATTTCCTGACAGTGAGAACAATTAACCAGGGGAACAGCTTGCCTTCAGAAGTTGTGGGTGTTTCATTACTGGAGGTTTTTAAGAAAAGACTGGACAGCCCATTGTCTGAAATGGTATAGGGCAGGGGTGTCAAACTCAATTTCATTGAGGGCCGCATCAGTATTGCGTGTTGCCCTCAGGGGACTGGGTGGGTGTGGCCAGGAGGGGTGCGGCCTACTGGGTGGGCGTGGATGGAGTGGGTGTGGCCTACTGGGTGGGTGTGGCCAGCTCTACACCATTCGTATCAAGGGTGCCTGTGGGGGCCTGGGCAGGAGTGGGATAGATCTGAGGGTCTCTGTCAGAAGGGGGTGGGACCAGGGCAAGTGCCAAGGCATGGTCCACTGGAGGAGCCTCACTGTTCCTCTCAGGCCATATGGGGGGAGGGGGGCTTATGGAGCTAAGACTGAATGCATTTCAGCATAGATGGCCACCACAAAATTGTACATTGGCTCCTGGCTGGCCTGGGCCAGGGCCAAGGCAGAGGGGGCCGTTCCCTCACTGTTTCCAGGATGGCTTTGCGGGCTACATGAAACCACTTCGTGGGCCGCATTCGGCCCCCGGGCCTTGTGTTTGACATGTCTGGTATAGGGTCTCCTGCTTAAATAGGGGGTTGGACTAGAAGACCTCCAAGGTCTGTTCCAGCTCTATTCTGGTTGATTGATTCTGATTGATTGATTGACCAGCCATAGTGTCTTCAAGATTGTATTGTAAATTACCCTAATCAGTTCTTGGAGTGATTAAAAACTAGATAAAGTAGTAACAAATAAAGAGCCCAATATGTTGAGTGGATAATGGTCTAAATGTCTTCTGGTGCTTTACTGTTTTTGATACTTTTAGCAAGTTGATGGAAGAGAAAATATATCTACTTATCTCCTATTGCTTTCTCTTGGGTCTCTCTTCGGTAGTTATTTGAACAAAATGTTCCCTTTCAGCTTATTTGTTCAGTAATCTTGTCTCATCTAGATTGTCAAAAATAGTTTCTGGCAGGTGGATCCCTGAATCTGAATAAGTATCCCATAGGTCATTTGTTGAACCAGAGAAATCCAAAATAATGATGATGATGATGATGATGATGATGATGGAAGGGACCTTGGAGATCATCTAGTCCAACCCCCTGCTCAGGCAGGAAACCCTATACCATTTCAGACAAGTGGCTGTCCAATCTCTTCTTAAAGCCTTCCAGTGTTGGAGCATTCACAGCTTCTGGAGGCAGGTTGTTCCACTGGTTAATTGTTCTAACGGTCAGGAAGTTGCTCCTTAGTTCTAGGTTGCTTCTCTCCTTGATTAGTTTCCATCCGTTGCTTCTTGTCTTGCCTTCAGGTGCTTTGGATAATAGCTTGACTCCCTCTTCTTTGTGGCAAACCCTGAGATGTTGGAACACTGCTATCATGTCACCCCTAGTCATTAAACTAGACATACTCAATTCCAGCAACCGTTCTTTGTATGCTTTATCCTCCAGTGTCCTAATCATCTTTGTTGCTCTTCTCTGCACTCTTTCTAGAGTCTCAACTTTTTTTTTTATATCGTGGTGACCAAAACTGGATGCAGTATTCCAAGTGTGGCCTTACCAAGGCCTTGTAAAGTGGTATTAACACTTCACGTGATCTTGATTCTATCCCTCTGTTAATGCAGCCCAGCACTGTGTTGGCTTTTTTGGCAGCTGCAGCACACTTCTGGCTCATATTTAAGTGATTGTCCACTAGGACTCCAATATCCCTTTCACAGTTTACTATATCTGCAGTGACATCTGCAATGACAGACTCAAAGCATCCGAAAAAGGGTGTTTGTATATACAAAGCCCTGCTCCTTTGCAATGTGTGTTGCACTCAAGGCATGCATGTAAAAAGGGGCAGGACTTTGATTAGCCAGTCTCACCTGCCATTTTAAAGCCGGTAACCATTGTTGGTCAGAATACCAGAAAGAACTTACAATTGAGTCAAAACCAAATCCTCTTGGGGTACTATGCTTGGACAGTAATCAAGCTGGAGCTTCTTCTGGGTTTCCTGTAGGAAATGCTATATAGCACGGAACATTTAAATTAAAAGCATATAACATACTAGCTTCACAATCATATAGACCGCTAAACAATTTTCAGAGGCATACAGTAAATGGCTTCTTTCTTTTGACGGTTAAACAAAACAATTTAAAAACAGCTAGCTTTTCTAGCCAACGGCTTTGAATTTATAATTGTGCTGTAATTTGCATATATTAGACTTTTCTCTACAATAATTAAAGTTGACTTTTTAAAGTGCATTCTTCTAAGCCTGATCGCGAAAAACTAGAGTCCATTGGGCAAGAAAAAAATGAACAGTTTAATTTACTTCTTTTTCCTAAGGTTCCTGTCAATATAGCATTGTTTTAAAAGAAATCATATTTCCCAGTTGTTAACAAGGAAGGTTTGCCTTGTTCCTTCACATTGCATCCTGTGAAAATTAAAAACTATTTTATGTAGTTGTGGAATAAATATTTTCGTGAACCTGTATGGTCTTTGAATCTGACGATGATCTGGAAAAACTGCCAAGTAATAGCTGCTAATGTATTTGCAGTTTTTTTTTATTATTAGACCAATACTTCTTCCTATACAGAAGGAACTCAACCATCTGCTTTTACGCAGATATAAAATTAACAGTTACATAAACATTAATAATGCACTTGTGTTCTTTTGGTTTATGGACACTGAGAACAAACCCACCTTGAGGCTTGGCTAAGCATAATCTTGGGAAGGTTTCCAGGCAAGTTGGTAAAACTAGTGACATTTTTAAAGACAGTCTGCCCCTCATGGATCAAGAGTGATGGTCTGACAGCAAAATGCAATTTAACTTAAGAAACTACTTTGTTTTTTTTAAAATCTGGTCTCCTTTTTAAAACTGCTTGGAATGACATCTCGATATGCCCGCTATTTGAAAAACCAAGACGAAAAGAATTACCAGTATGCTGTTTCACAGGCATGAAAGAATTAAAAAGAAAAAAAAAAGAAAATTCTAAAGGTCTCTCCGAATCAGCTCATAAGAAAAATAAGTAACAAAAAACATACATATTTTCCTGACAAAGTGCTAAACATTAAAGCTATGCAAAATTTCACCAGGAGCTTTGGTGATAATCCCAAATTTGTCCCCAGAGAAACAGTTCAGAAAAAGGCAGAGCTTTGAACTTTGATAGAACTTGCTGGGGGAAAAAAAAAAATCCTGGACTAGAACTAGTAGCTTTTATGAACAAAAAAGCAAGATGGAATTTGGAAGGGGAAAGTGCAGTTAAAATGCTGACCTATCCAGAAAAAATAATAATTAATTGTGTTTGGATTAGGGTTTTCTTTATTGCTTTGATAAATTAATGCATGTCTTCTGGACAAAGAACAACATGGCACACATAATTCAGGAAATTTTAATTTTCTTTTCAACACAACAAACCATTTCTTTATATCGCACTGTCCTTTGGGGGATAGTCCGACCACCATAAAGAATAATAAGAACAATAAAAGTTAAATAGCAATTAAAATTATATAACTATAAAAGCAAGAGCCACCAGGATATATTTACAGTTTTAATAAAGACAGGGCTTGCACAGTCTTTAGCTTAGCTATCATCTAACGCAGGGGTCTTCAAACTTGGCCCTTTTATGACTTGTGGACTTCAACTTCCAGAATTCCTCAGCCAGCATGGTTCAGCATGGAAACCTCTCCCTTTCCCCTCAGCATGGCTGGCTGAGGAATTCTGGGAGTTGAAGTCCACAAGTCATAAAAGGGCCAAGTTTGAAGACCCCTGATCTAACTGATACAACAAAACAGTCTTAGGGCCATCTTCAGCAGCTGCTGACAGCCCTTGGACCAACTCCCTTCATACATCCAAAGTTGTGCAGAGCTGGAATATGGAGAAGACAAATTCCTAATTTTCATAAGGTCTTAAATCAAGAAATCATATGTTTTGAAGAAGAGGGTATGTGAGACATTGCTCTGGAGATTTAGTTGCACAGATACTTGACTAAATAAGCAAATAGGTACAGTGAAATTCTACACTCTAATAATTCTAGTCATGCTTTTGTTCTTTTGGAACCTCTAGAAAAATATCCCTTCTAATCTAAGTTGGCTTAATAATCACCTATACTCAGGTTTCATGAAAAAGATTGAATAAGACCCTTCAAAGTCCTGAAAATAAATCATTGCAGAAGCAGGGGTGGGGGGGTGGGGGAGAAGTGGAGAGAGCACACGGAAAATGCTGAATATTCCATAATAGTCTGTAAAAATTTCTTCAGTGTAACAACTACTGAGAGCTTGTTAGCAGGAAAAAACCCTTTAATTTAGGAATAACATCCAAGGTATTTTAATTTAAGACTTTCAGCTATTACAATTTATTATTTAAAAAAGGTATTCCTTTGTGGAAATAATGCCCTGAATAAGCTTTCTATTTTTTTTAACATAAATTTATCATTTAATAGTGATGTCAAGCCCATTCTTAAACTTTGGGAACAACATGACCAATATCTATATATGTTTCCTAGGAGATATTTTGCTGTAGGATTTCAAGACTTTATAACACCAACAGCATTTGCAGTTTAGGTTCTATTTGGGAATAAGATTAATAAGCACAGAACAGGATGTGATTGACCCAAATCTCACAGCTCTAATACAAGATAAAGGTGAGCTGTTGAGAAGACTGCTTGTAGTTGAAGAGCTAATTTATTTTAAAGTTAAACCAATATTCATAACATAAAATTCGATGACAGGTTACTAAAAGAAATAAATCATGTATGAAATATTATTATAATACTAATAAATATTATCACAAATCTTAAAGGCCAATCTGAAAATTTATTGTAGTTTTAAATACCTAGCTTGTTGTTGTTAATTGCGAAGTCGTGTCCGACCCATCGCGACCCCATGGACAGTGTTCCTCCAGGCCTTCCTGTCCTCTACCATCTTCTGGAGTCCATTTAAGCTCACGCCTACTGCTTCAGTGACTCCATCCAGCCACCTCTTACATTCCAGGTTTCTATGGAGAATAGATCTTTACAGCATTGGACTTTCCTTTCACCACCAGATGCATCCCCAGCTGAGCATCCTTTCAGCTTTGGCCCAGTCACTTCACTCTTTCTGGTACTACTAGTACTAGCTCTCTGCTCTTCCCCAGTAGCATATTGGACACCTTCCAACCTGAGGGGCTCATCTTCCAGCATCATATCTTTTTGCCTTTTGATACTGTCCATGGGGTTTTCATGGCAGAGATACTGGAGTGGGTTGCCATTCCCTTCTCCAGTGGATCACATTTTGTCAGAACTCTCTGCTATGACCTGTCCGTCTTGGGTGGCCCTGCACGGCATAGCTCATAGCTTCATTGAATTACGCAAGCCCCTTCACCACGACAAGGCAGTAATCCATGAAGGGGAAATACCTAGCTCCATGATATATAAAAGTAAAGGTTTCCCCTGCCCAGTTGTGTCTGACTCTAGGGGGCAATGTTCATCTCCATTGCTTAGCCAAGGGAGCCAGTGTTGTCCAAAGACATTTCCATGGACATGTGGCCAGCTGTTCTGTCCCCGTTCCGACCCACACACCCAAACAGCCGGCT